AATGCAGGCATTTTGGAAACTGCACAGTAACAGACCCCACCTGATATTTGTGGAATAAAGGAGGATGGGTTTGTGAAAAATTCAGCCCAGAAAATAGTACTCTATTCTCCTCTTCTGGAAACTGCTTCCTATGCAAGCGGACAAGCCATTGTACTGGTGGCATTCAAACTCAGGACCACAATAGCCACCAAAAAAGACTAAATATTTGTTAGAAACCAGAGGTGTGCAGAATTTTTCATTATGGAACATTTTAATCCAGAAATGGGACGTACAGGTGAAGCTATTTTAACTATTTAGAAAGTGGGCTGATCTTGAAATGGCCCCATTCTGAATAGTCTTGTATCACTTGGAATGGGCCCATTTTGAGGTCAGGCCACTTTCAAAAGAGTTCCATTTTTAAAGTACAATCACTCCCAGAACCCTTGAAACACTCTGTTCCTAGGTTACAATGTTGTATGATGAAGCATTTGTAAATGTAAACCTTTCATAGTGGAAGAGACTATAATGCAAGTTCTCTATACGTTGCATGGTTCCAAATCTATTCTATTGCATTTTCCTCTAACACTTTTGTTATTTACACAAACAATACATTAAAACTGTATGCAAATGAAACAAACAAATTGAAACAGTGATCTTACCCACAAAAATATGTACCACATACCATTTAATAAAAACTCCCTCTTGAACTGTTGTGATAGTTTACAGTACAGTATCAGCCCTAGAGAAATGTTAGTGCATTTCATTCCAAATATATCTAAAGAAGCTATTGGTTAACACTTGTTTATATCCTGAGTATAATATGTATTTTCTGAAGTAATTTATTGTGACTCATTGAACACATAATCCTGAAAACAATTAACAATACAGAAATATTTCTTTTATTTTAATCTTTGAAAAGCTTTCCTAAGATTTGGGAAAGAGCCATTACAGGGCAGTCATTTGGGGCTTCAAGGGTCATAAGTTTGACAGTTGTACAATACCCATGTTTAGTATATATTCTGTTTATGTCTCTGCTGTCATAATCCTATCAATCAAATCTAATTTTGCATGTGTTTATAGAGCTTTAATAACTTGCTATGTTTAGAGGAACTAAAGGCTCGTTCCCATTTGTTCCACTGATAAGCATGAATAAAAAATGGAAAATGTTTTCCATTTCCCCACAAAACACTGCTTATAGGGTCCCCCCCCCCTAAATTATGAACACTATTCAACTTACTTCCTTTGCTTTTTTCTTTTTGTCATCTTCCTTTTTCTTTTTACTTTCTGGCATAAGGTCATCAAGCCAACTGAGCTCCCGTTTGGTGAAACATAAATCCAGAAGTTTGCGAATAAAAACTAAAGCTAAAACCTTTAAAACAAATTTAAATATAAATTACTAACACATCAAAATACTAATTTAAATGTAGAACTAATATAAATTACAGTACACAGAATTAATTGTGTGGATTTCATATAATAATGGATTTCACACTTATGACATTTATAAATGGTGCATAAAGTTGCAGATACACTGAAATATTAGCTTACCATCATAGGAAAAACAACAGCAGCAGCTGATGCTTTAATTGCCCACAGAAGTACAAGACACGTAAGCTGAACTACTGTAAATACATGCACTTTCCATAGTGGCACATAACGCAGATAGATCAAATCAGGTTGATGTTTGGCAGGCATACCAAACAGTTTAATACGATCAAAAAACTGTATTGAAAAGAAAAAAATTTAAACATATCTCTAAAGGCAATTTTAGAAAACAAAAGTAATTATCAATATAAATTGATTACAAATTAGACATGACAATCCTTTGAGTAGTAAAAAAAACTAATGCTATTAAATCTGTAATAGTTACACTAACTACTAAAAAACCTTAAGAATTTCTGGATTCTAGTCCATTATTTATAATTCACAATATTATGCAAATAGACATATTTGTAAAAATTCAAGAAGTGAGCACTTTCACCAAAGCAAGCATAATTCTAGGCTGCAGAAGGCAAATAACATTCAGACAGTGGAGAATTCTTCCCTCCTGATGAACTCAGTGAACTCAGTGTGTGCTACTGGGGAAAAGGTGAGGGGACAGCATTTGGGAATAAGCGTGTGTCTGCATTTACGCACATTACTACTACTACTACTACTACTATCATCCAGAGAGAGAGAGAGAGAGAGAGAGGGAGGGAGGGAGGCAG